AATAGGTTCAGACCCGACTTTGAACACACGGGATAAACAAGCACACTTGCGCTAAGCACACAACGCCATCATCCCCGAATCTGAGCCCTAATAAGCACACTCTGAGCACACTGGCGCTACTCACACGACAGCACCAACTCCGACTGTGAGCGCTCGGAAGAAATAGTGACAGGATTTTCGTGCTAGTACATTTTTTATTAAAGCTTCTCAGAGCTTTCAAACATTGTAACGTCAACTTGGCACGTCATGGGCATTCACAAATTGAGTCGGCACTAAATCTAAGACACTCTAATTTCTAAGCATAAGAGAGCAGCCATAAATACAAACAGCTGTTATCAGTGGGATGTGGGAAAATCACACAGAGCTGTAATCAGTGGGATGTCTGAGGCCAGACACAGTACAGGAGACGTGTGTTGCAGACACAGGTTTAAGCTTACACTACTCCAATTCCGCATGATTTGGAACTCCCTCCACCCAACCTAACACCTCCTACCCTCATCCTAGTCCTCTCACCCCTCAGCATCGCCCTATAATAATAATAATAATAATAATAATAATAATAATAATAATAATAATGGTAATAATAATAGCAATAATAATTATTATAATAATATCCTATTCCTCTTAATTGATAAGAGGGCTTGATATCTGGCGAAACCCGACAGAATGACGTTCCAGTACCTCAGGAATAATTATTAAATTATATAACATATATTCCTTGGGCTTTTTCCAGGTCCAGGGGGATGTCGATTTCGACTATCCGCGCCGGGTATCCACTGTGTCTCTCAAAGGGATACATGTAACCCTTTACACTAGACACACTTGCGGGCTCCTCGGTTTGTGCTCAGCAGACTTTCGAGGCCTTCCGCGACAACACATTCATGAAAGGACACGAAGGGACAAACAATCATGGCGGTACTCGAACCTGCGACTCTTCGGACTGAGGTGCTGAGTCGGCATATTCTCCAACCACGTGGGCCCATCTGGGATACCAGTCTGGACCGTCCAGTTCATATCATTAATACTCGAAAATATTGTAAATAATGTTACGTTATAGGTAACACATTAAAATTAAACTTTATGAATAAATAAAAATTAATTAAACTAAAATAGTTATATTTAATAATTAATTATTTATATTCGATTATATTAAAATAGTAATTTTCTCTTACAAGCAGGCAGTACCATAATACTATAACGTTTCTGTATCATTTAATTCGTTTTCTTCATTGCTGTGAATTTACCGGAAGTCAAATTCGTAATTGACGAATCCACATGTGCGCACGAGGTCTCCACAAAGAAGATATTTCTTTCCCCGGGCATCGGGTAATCCATCGACGGCGAAAAAGCTTTGCTGGAGGGCAGATCGTACAGATTCCTCCGCGCACTCCTGAGAAACAGGAAGAAGGTGAGCAGTGATGCCACCAGTAGAATCCTCACAGAGATTCTCTTCAGTATTCTGACCATCTCGAAACCAGCGCCGTCAGCTCAGCGGTAACGACGAATAAGTAAGATATCTGAAAACAAAATCCGGTGCTCTTGATTTTGTCCGATCGGTGACTGCCCTAAACGTCACTCATTTTAGGTGAGTGAAAAAGCTTACACCTTCAAGAAATGCTCTTTCCAGGGTGGGTGAACACCATTATGAAATTGGGCTATTAGAAAGGATTTTTATTCATGATGGTAAGGTGATCATGAGGGTGAATGATTATGGTTCGATACGTTATGTGCGATTGTTTTTCCGATCGCGTCAACTGCCGTGGATCTTAGTCCTGTAAGTATACTAACTCTCAGGAGGCGGCGGTAATCCTCCCCGCTAGTACTTGAGATCCGTCACTGGCCTAAAGAGTACTGTGCGAGGTTTCCCCTACAAGTATCTCCCCCAGCGGGGCGCCCCCCCCCCATCCGGGGTAAAGCTTAACACACAGACTGGTCCCCCGATGTTGCGCGGTAGATGTGTAAAGGGAGACAAGGTGACAAGGATGAGGAAGGAAAGATCGCGCGCATTCCGTTGCCAGTTTGTTAGGCTACTGGTCCGCCTTCACTGAAAACTACCGATTAGTGTACTTGGCCGCTATAAAAGACCTCCGCACAGAAGCTGAATTCGATCTAGCTGTCTAGCTAGTGTAGAAAAATTGCCCCCGTCGGTACTCTAACTCTAGAACCTCCCAGGCAGATTTGCTGCAATCACGATAAAGCTACATTGGAGCCAAATCAACAGGTGATTTGTGTGCGAAACACTTAAGGCAGTACATGGTGAAAATACTCATGAAGGGAAATATATTAGTATGCAGTGGAGTAAAAGAACTTATGGTGAATCATGACACAATTATGGAAAATAATCAAACCTTAAATAAAATATGTTTCATACTCGTATATTTATTTCAAATATTAATAAAAAAGGTTTCAAGAACTATCCCAATAAATAATTAATATATTCATTAAAACACTAATAAAATAGTTTTTAGGAACTAATTTTACTTTCTCAGTACCGCTTATGCAGCTGAGAGAAATGTATGTAATGCTGCGCAACAAAACTGCGACTTTTCGACAGAAAAACTTTATTACTCGTATAAGGCCCTAAACCTGAAAAAGTGGATAAATCTAGATGCTAAATTTAGAAAAAAAATCCTCTAACATGTACTGTGGTAACATAATCCATGTTTTGTGAGTCCTTGATGCCAAAAATTGCAAGGCGGCAAAACTTCTGTCTGTCCGTCTGTGAACAATGCTAGCGGCTAAACAGTTACCCCGATTTTCTCCCAAATTGATATTCCCCAATTGCCCCTTGAATTTGAAACCGATATTTTAATTTTGGGGAGTACTTTACATAAAGCCTCTGGGACATTTTCAAAAGTATTACTACAATGATTTTGTTTATACTTTGTTATTCGATAGTGTGAAGGTAGTTTAAGGGAATGGCGCAGGTCGCATGTTCGTTGAAAATCCTAATTTTTTGACAATTGAAAAACATCGACATTTTTTCGGCACCTTCCTACAACTACAATTATGAAGACAAAGTAATTTTAATGAAACATGTTAATGAAAAACAAATCGAAAAATAATATGTTCAATTTTTCAAATACATGAATATTTTTTGCAAAATTTTGTGTCAAACATAGGCAATTTTTATTTTCTTTAGACCATTTTTTTTCTTAAAACGTCACAATCTTTTTAAAATTAAATTTAGACCTTAGATAGTGTAAAGGACACTTAAGAGAATAATGCAGGTCTCAAGTTCATTAAAATGCATGATTTTTTGAAAATTTTAAATTATTTCAAAAATTCGGCGTATTCCTAAAACAATTATGAAGACAAACTTTTAAAAAAATGAAATTGTCATCAAAAACATATCTTCAAATAAGGTCATGTTGAATTTTTTGAAAATATGAGTAATGTTGTGTAATTTGGCGACAAACATAGTTGCTCTTTACGACTTTGCTGCGCTTCGTGAACGTAATTACAGGCGGTTGAATGCTTCGTAAGTTAGAATTTGTATTTCATATTTCTTTGTTCCCTTCATGCATTCGAGCTTTTGTTATATATTTACAAATTAATCTTTTCGAAATTATTTAAAACCTTCTCAAAATATCTAGTATGTAAAATACAATGTTTGTTTGTTTTTGGTTCGTGCTTAATGCGCTGCCGTACCGTTCATTCGATTGCGATAAATCTTTGTCAACGTATTGCTTACACTTCCGGGGAGAATATAAGCCTAATACGATGGGAATGTACGTATGCCTGAGCACATGGACGCGCGTTGATGATGATTTAATGTAGACTCAAGAGCCAGGCGCTTTACGCGTTCCCTGAAGTACGATTATTAATACGTCATTAATTGGATTGTTGGTGAAGTAGATACCTTTTTATTATGAAAAATAAATAAAGATATTGTCAGGTATCAATATTTTAATTCAACTTATGATCATTTCGATCGCTTAGCGATCGAATTGATCATAAGTTGAATTAAAATATTGATACCTGACAATATCTTTATTTATTTATCATATTAATACGTCTTCATTGTGTATTCTGTCCCTGAAATGTATTCATTGTGTATTCTGCTCCTGTGAAATTTCTCCCGGGAGAGACAGATACGGAGAGAGACAGAGAACGACAGAGACGATGAGAGAGAAACAAACAGAAACACAGAGTCAGAGAGAGACGCAGAGAGAGAGAGAGAGAGAGAGAGGGACAGAGAGAAACGGGGAGAGAGACGCAACAATAATATATACTCTCTGGACGCAACCACACTCGCGAGAATGTCTTTCGTCTATTGAAATTTTTGTAGAGCGTAGCAAATGTGGAATCAATCACGTGAACAGTAGCATGTGAAGTGTAATACGCGAATTGCAATAGCGAAGCATTACCGGGCCAACAATCATGAAATAAAAATTACTATCCTTCGGGGAATGTCAGATTGGAATGCAACAATGACTCCGCAACAAAGACTCGGGAGCTAATTTCTGTGACTTACGTGTTATTGTTGGGACATGATTTATGTGCATGAAAAGCAGTTATGATTGTAAAATTTGCATTGATATTTGCTTGACAACATTTAGTTTTGGCACCAAATGGTCTACGATTTCTAATGAGTTTTACAAAAAATTATGACTGAGATATGTTAATTCGGAGAGAAATTGTCGAATAAATAGTATTACATAACTATTACTAAAGGTGAGAAAGTACGTGTTGTTTTAACATCACTAGTTCTTATCTTCAGTGGGTTCAACAATAACTCTGAAAATAATTTTTTTTAAAAGAATGGGAAAGAAAATAAAGAACAATTATTAGGAAATGACACTTCAAAATAGATACTGTATGTGCATGTGGAGTTATACAAGCAAAATGACGCCGTTCGTAATCAAGCAGTAGGCTGGAAATAGGGGTGCGAGAAAGACGAAGTTGCAGAAGGAATCTACGAAGTACAACGATTTAAAATGGAACAACTTTTATTATGACTATTCCACTCGTAAAATTAACAGTAATAGCGTTGAATTATACATCTGGCGTGCATCAAATAAGACTGTTTATCCACCAAAAAGTATCGCATTTTCTTATCATCTCCTCCCTGCTGACTGATTTCAACTTCTGAGGGTCATTAGTGCCGTAAGTGTAGTTCATGTTCCCGGAGTTTTTAGTCATCTACATGGATTGATGGGGATTGCGGATTAAACGCCGAAAATGCAGAAATGCATTGCCCAATGCCTCTGGCAACACTGCCTTTACTAATTATAGAGATCACTGGTGGTGAGTAAGCAATGTGGGTTGTTTGTTGGTGGTGGTGGTGGTGGTGTTGTTTTTTTTACGAGCTGCAGCTATATTGGTTTTTTATAATGTGGCGCATCAGGGGCTGTCTTCACGAAGGAATGTCTCACGCATTTCGCGTCTTTCTTGGTCATGCCGTTAGATGTCGCGTGATCGCGACCGTATCAAGCAGTGCCTAGCGACATCTAGCGGCACGACCGAGAAAGACGCGAAATGCCGTGAGATATTTCATCATGAAGTCAGTCCTTGAAATAACACGTTATAAAAACTCAAGTACAGTGCTACCACCATAAATTATATTGCTTGAACTCTCACCAGTAAGGTGCCTCTGCGGACAGACTTAGTACACTGTATTACCTCTGATAATCGTCATTAAGTCCTGTAAAAGCTGCGTTTTTAATAATGCGTAAATTTACAAGGTTTTCTAAAATGTTCATTTTCTTTGATTTGTATCGTAATGGAGAATTTTGAAATGATCAATACAGTCAAAATGGTGATTATTATCAATTAAATGGTTGGCAAAACTAGAATAGTCGAAATTTAATTTTAAGCATCTGATGCGTTTTTTTTTATCTACGAGAAAATTCTTAACCCGCTTGAATACCAGATACTACATTTCATCACATTAATGCAAAATTTGTAAGTTCCTACCTTTTTCCGTTTTCTTCTTGAAGTCACCAACAACACACACATCTTTGAGCTTCTGAAAATTTCATTTTGAGGCAAATGTCGACTCAGAATTGATAAAGAAAATTAACAAAGAGCAATTCCAAAATCTTAGTTTCAGTTTATATTTTATTTATCATTAGTGAACAAAACATTGCATATTTTTAGTATTGTCAATATTGAAAAGCGGTTTGTTAGTCTCTCTATTCACAGACATATGTCTTTGAATCAAAATAACGAAACACATTATTCTTCATAAAGAAACCGAAACATGTAAAACTTGTACTGTCCAAACTTGTAAAAATTTAAAATACGCTCTCATACATTTCCCAGAGGGAATATTCTAATGAAACATGCAGAAAATGGAAATAGACGATCGCACTAGGAAAGGGACACTGGGAATAAACATTCGCACACAAATGCCTCTCTTCGTATCGGGAACCCGGTAGGAAAACACCAATATCATAGAACTTGCTGTGTCCGAGAAGAGAGGCTTCGACGGGAGTAACGTGCTCGAAGAAGCAAATTTGACGTGTCCCGCGGCGCGCTGCGTTTGTTATCTGAGTCAACGCGATAGCATATCAGCCACAGAGCCTGAAGATTAGGGAGATAGGCCGTCCGCCGTGGAAACAGAGTTACAGGCGAAAGGGAGCTCAGGCGGAAGATAGCGGAAAGTAACCCCCCATTTTTGCCGGTTCCGTTTCCCCAGACCGCAGACTTGAGTGTTTGTGGACATAATCTCGAAGGTAAACTTGTTTCGAAGGAAACTCGAATACTTATTTTTACTTTCTTATGTAATGCTGCGCGAAAAAAAATGCGAATTTTCGGCAAAAACTCTTCGTACATGGCCCTGGTAACGAAAATGTGACTAAACGTAGTTGTCAAATTTAGAAAAAAATCTTCTAACACGTGGGGTATCCAGAATTAATCTTCGTTGTCTTGTAGGTTCTTGATACCTAAAAGTCAATTGACAACAAAACGTGTTTGTCTCTCTGTTCGTCCGTCTGTCTGTCAGTCTGAGAACAACGCTAGCGGCTAAACCCTTCACCCCATTTTCTCCAAAATTGATATTCCGCAATCGATCTGACGGATGTCGCGGCCCCTTGAATTTGAAACCGATATTTTAATTTTAGAGGGGATTTACTTGAAACCCCTGAGACATTTTCAAAAAATGGCGCCATTTATTTTGATTAAATTTTGTTGTTGGATTGTGTAAAGGACGTTTAAGAGAATGGTGTAGACCTCATGTTAGTTAAAAACTAATTTTCAAAAACTGCAAAAATTCAATTTTTTTACGCGTGTTTTTACAACTAAAATATTAAAAATAGAGATTTTGTTTCCTAATAAAACTTGTTCCGTAAAGATACATTTTGAAACAAGATGATATACAATTTTTCGGAAATTTGAGTATTTTTCTCGAGATGTGTGAAATATAGGCAATTTTTTATTTTTTTTAAACAATTTTTCTCAAACACTCGTGTTTTGTGATGAAATTTTGTTGATGGACAGTCTGAAGGACATTTAAGAAAGCGGTGCAGGTCTCATGGTCGTTGAAAACCCTAATTGTCCCAATTTAATCAAATATTTTGGTAATTTTTAAGAAAAAATGGTTTAAAGAAAATAAACATTGCCTATATTTGACAGAATTCTTCGCAAAAAATACTCATGTTTATAAAAAAATTTAATACGGCGAATGTTCGCTCCCTTCGATGTGTTCAAAAGACCGACACGCAGGGGGTAGGGCGAATTCCGAATGTTCGGCGCTCAGCGAAAAGGGGGAGGGGGGGGAACAGGGCCGGCGCTAGCTGTAGGCACCCAGGCGACCGCCTAGGATGCAAACCTCAGGGGGGCGCAAATTTGGTACATTTTTTATAATAAATCTTATTGTTCTATTTTTTGGTGGAAGTTATTAATTTAAAGAAGAAAGAAAGAAGTTAGAAACTTCTACTTAGAAAGTAGTTAATTTTTGTTGTATATATTATTACCTACTAAGTATTATTTGCTTACTCTTCAAAACCTTGTATTTTCTTAATTTATATATTAAATGTGGAATAATGTGGATAAATCATGGAACTTGTTTTAAGAATATCTACGGTGTCGGTGCGTCTAAATAATTTTAATGGTATTTTTTTTATCAAAGTGGAAATTTGCGCCCCTTGAAGGCAGCTACAAAATGAATTTTTCCGGCCTCGGGCTAAACACTTGAGCGCAAAAATGTACTTTGTAACCTTTTCCTTGGACGCAACGGTTCCTTCCAACTTCATCATAATGAATGAAAAGAAATTAAAATGTGCCTTCTTTGCATTATACAACTTGCACGAACGAAAACATTATACTCTTGGCGCCCTAATACTAAAAAAAAAATATATTTCGCTATCAAGTACGTACAATAGAAAGAAATTTTTTTATAATTTTAATTACAAATGACGTATTTCAAAAATATTTCTAAAATCCGGAAATTTCAGACTTTCTTTAGACTTTTCCGGACTTAATTTTATTTAAACAGGGATTGGTTTTAGTTTCATTCATCTCGATAAATAATTTCATATTTTCCGGTTATTATTTGGTAAGTCTATATGAACATCCATTTCTATTGAGTACTTTACTATATCAACTCTATAAAGGAACTAGTACTTCAGGTTTACATTATAGTTTGTTCTTAAGACGACTCAACTCCTAATATACGAAAACTTTGGCCAGTGTCACAGACCAAAATATTGCAACAGCAATTAATATAAAATAAATCCAGACATTTTTTTCAATTTTTGCCAACGGTGTTTGACTATTTTTTATTTAATTTTGTTCACGTGCCTTTGGTCTGTGAAACTTGCCAAAAGTTTCATTGAGCTAGCAGCTGAATGAGTCCGCTTAATGTAGAATGTTATGCCTTTCTGTGAAAATAAATTATTTCTATTGTATGTTTTTTAATTTGAATGAATTTTAATTTACTAATTTAGAATTTTTATTTGGATTTTGAATATTGAATTTATAATGTTTTTAAATATAAATCTCGATAAGAGTTAAAAAAAATATTTTCATTATTTAGTGTAAGTGTTCAGTTCTTCAATTCACACGTAAATTAGCAATTAATTATTCTGGTTATACAATAAACAAATTACCGACATGAGGTAATGAATTATATTTTTCAGTGTTTTGGCTATTGGTACTGATTATATTATTGATAATATAAATATCATTTTTGGTAAGAAAGCTTTAATATAACTTAATTATTATTGTTTTAATATTATCGGAATACATTTTAGTTTATCATTAATTGTCCTTTAATGTTTGTATATTTCTGAACAATATCAATATGGTGTGTTAATATTCTTCTAAGTTAAGTATTTATGTTTATTAATTTAAACAAATATTTTGATATTAATCATGATTGAAAATATCTCTCATAATAATAGACTGGCTGGATAAAGAGAGATACAATATGAGCCGGATATAGCACATTGAGAGTCGAAATTTTACTTCGTCAGCAGATTACTCCTTGGCGGCAGCACTAGACGGCAGTGTGCCGCTGGCATCAAATTTCTTTCTCTTTAAAGCGTCGTGTATCTTTATTATAAGAGAGAGAGATACTGCAGTCGGCACAACTGCTAGGACGTGGACAGAGGTCTTGTGATTAATTTGGTTCCGGTTGTGTCCCTAAAAATTGTCTTGGTTCATCCAGGGATTAAGTAAATATTATGTAATAAATATCTTTCTAATTGTGTTTTTAAGCACAGGTACAGGACTGGCATACAGGTGCACTCTTCACCTAATTAGCGCAATAAAGAGAACAACAGCAACAACGATATGTAGAAATATGGTAAGATTTCTAATTGCTGTGTTCGATGAATTTCAATTGTATGAAGATATGCTTATATATCTATTTATTATTACTTCACGTTTTAAAATTTAATGTGTGAGAGAACGGCACACTCTGGAGCTCAAAATCGTAAACTGGCAAAGCAGAAGAAGAAGTAAAGAAGTAAGCTATAACAAGGAAGGATCGTTTTCTAATAATCTATACCTCTAGAAAAATCAAATGACAGACTAAGAGATGAATTAGAGTTTGGTTGAATTGAATGACATCTCTCATTTTGAAGGTTTCCCCGCAATACCTGATAATAAGAATGCTCCTTAATAATTTTCTATAGAAATGAACGTCAGATTCTTAGGAGCTTTGTGAATACAGAATTTCTAAGTAGAATAATATAGATATCTGCAGATAGCGTATTTATTTCTCATAACCTGTAATACAGTAGGTGTATCAAATTTAATAGGAACGCTGTTAAGATAATTAAGATCTTCGTATGTTGAGTCATTGAACATAATTATTTGGGAATAGGTATTCAAACTCTGGAAAGTATTAGGACTTCGAAAAAATTATACTATGATAACT